CCTTTACTCCTCTCTCAAACCATCGTTCCTCTCTGTCCAGGATGTGAACATCTTCATCCCTGAAAGAGTGACCGCTGGCCTGGAGATGAGTGTAGACCTCAGAGTCCTGGCCTGATGATGTTGATCTTCTGTGCTGGTCCATCCTTTTGGCCAGTGGCTGTTTAGTTTCCCCGATGTAAGACTGATCACCCTCCTGACACTGAACACTATGGCACTTGGAGAAGGTGCTATTTATAAGACGGAGTTTATTGCAGCTCCTCAGTCTGATGAAGTCTTTAAAAAAAACCCACAAAGTTTCAACAAGTTTTAAAATATTTAATTTAATATTTTTTTTTTATTCCGTCTATAGAATGTGACTTAACTTAATTAGATTTTTCTACCTGGATTATTGCATCATGATTTCATGGATTTTTAAAAACTATTATGGCTGAAAATGTGGGCAGCACGGTGGCGCAGTGGGTAGAGCTGCCGCCTATCAGCAAGCAGGTCGCCCTGGTTCAAATCCCGTCCCGGGACCTTTCTGGGTGGAGTTTGCATGTTCTCTCTGTGCTGAGTGGGTTTTTTCCAGGGACTCCAGTTTCCTCCCACAGACCAAAAACATGCACGTTAGTCTGACTGTAACTCTAAATTATCCCTGAGAGAGAGAATGGTTGTTTGTCTCTATGTGTCCCTGTGATGGACTGGAGACCTGTCCAGGTGTCCCTGTGATGGACTGGAGACCTGTCCAGGTGTCCCTGTGATGGACTGGAGACCTGTCCAGGGTCTATCCTGCCTCTCGCACAGTGATAGCTGGACATGGACACCAGTGACGGCCCGGACCGACGGACCGACCCCAGTTAGCCCTGTTCAGACGAGAGACATCGAGCTCCTCACTGTCTTCTGTCCATCACGACGTGAACTTTGACCTCACGCCCAGCACCGCTCGTCAGATCATTCAGGGACACAAACTCCTGCACCACAACAACGTGGTGGTCCACGGAGGACTAGGTCTGTGTCCTCACACGACCTGATGCTGTTGTGAAAGTGTCGTGGCGTCTGACAACCCTCCTGAATGAACTCGGACAAGAAGAGACCGGAGCTTCAGCAGAGAACATCGTCCCTGCGCTCAGCCGACACCAACTCGTCTCAGACGAACCGTCCATTGTTCATTTAACCAACACTTACTGCTCGTGCACCGCACTGATCTGAACTTATGGACTTCCTGTTGAACATTGTGTCTGTTGGAACTGGAGACAGAGGTTTGGGAAATAAAAACATTACAATGAAGTCAATGTCCAATAATTGTTGGAACGAACTGAAAATATATGGACAGGAAAATAAAGTGCCCGCGTTTCATCGTCTACTGCTTTGAAAAGCAGGTGCATGTGAGTGCGTTTGTCTGTTAGCAAAATATCTCATGCAGCACTACACATAATGAAATTCTCAGAAATATAAACCCTAAATGTGCACCAGATTAACCTTTGGTGTAAATGCAGATAAAGATGGCTGCCAAAGATAATCAACCTCGTGTTATCTTCTGTTTGTTGTTTTCATCTTCCGTTAAGTTTGTCAAGTTTTAATAGAAAAAAAAAACATGTTCAGGAGACACAAAACTTTAAAAATGCTTTAAGTTCTCTGACAAATGGAAGAAAGTGTGAACAGAAAATGAATGAATGAATAAATCTGTGCCGACGTTTGAAAACGTGCTGCAGTCAGATTTGGATAATCCAGAGAAATGCTCTGGATGCAGCTTCAGGTTATCAAACCTGCAACAATGAACATCTAGTCCTTCGTTCCTCCTCATTACAGTGAGCCGTGCACACTTTCATAACATTTTATTAGCTGTGTGCCGATCTGTCAACAATTAGAGCTCCTCTTTCAGCTTCTCTAATTGTTTGTTGGCAGCATTCTGTTCAACAGGAGGATCATCATGTAGCTACAGAGGTGGAGGAGATAGATACTCTGTGTTCATAAACCTAAAATCATTAAAAACACCAAACGAGCCGTGCTCTCTGATAACCATGATCCAAACCACGGCTGAATGTTTAACCTGACATCACGGTGGCTGGAACATGAGAGTGTTAATCTGCATTCATGATCCCTCTGCTGCAGAATGCTCTTGATTGATGTCTGCTAATAAAGAAGGTCAGTAATGATGACACGCACCCAGTGGACCGTAAGTTATTTATTTCCAGTCGCTGCAGGTGAAATGGATTCTGAGAAAAATCAAAGATCCAGAGCCATTAGTGCCCACAGCAACAGAAAGCTTTCAGCACGCACAACGCTCAGATGTTCTTTCAAAGAGACTCAGAATTTCAGCCGCTAAGAACCAGAACTACGTGGATTTATGTAACGCATTTATTCTACATGTGTTGGAACAGAAAATAGATGTTGGCTCCTAATGGAAGTAGAAATAAACATCACTGTGACGTCTGACTCATTTCCCTTCATCCAGCTCTGAGCAGGGGGGGGCAGACACCTGACGACACCGGTCCATCACAGAGACACGTGAGACAGACAACAGCTCTGACAGTCACTTAGAAAAGGACGGGGTTCTTTGGATATCAGCAGTCAGTATCTTACCTGCTGTAGAAAATGCTCAGAACATTGTTAGTTTGGATGTTTTGTCGGAGCAGTTAGTGGATTTTATCGTCTTAAAATGACTCTAATCTTGGAGATTTTTATAAAGACAAACTATCATTTCTGCATTAAACGGGTTTTCTTGACATAAATTCACGGTTATTTACCCTGAAGACTGTTGATGTGCAGCTGGTAAAGGTTGGACCTCAGTGGGCTAGTTGGCTCCACCGGGGAGTCTCCAGACTGATAATGGACACAACAAAAGACCAACCAAGAACCAACAGAAAGATCCAGCTCCCCAAAATAAAATTAAACTAACCAGGACCCTAAAAAAAATCAGTCCATCCATCATCTTTTACCCGCTTCTTCCTTTTTGGGTGGCAGGAGTCACTGGTGCCCATGTCCAGCCATCACTGTGCGAGAGGCAGGGGACACCTGGACAGGTCTTCAGTCCATCACAGGGACACAGAGAGACAAGTGAGACCAACTCATGCAAACTCCATGCAGAAAGGCTCCTGGTCGGGATTTAAACCAGTGACCTTCTCACTGAGAGGCCGCAGCTCTACCGACTGTGCCACCGTGCTGCTATAAAAAAAATGCTAAAATCTAAAACACAAGAATCACAACATCACACCCAGAAATAACAGCACAGCGTCAGCTAAGTAGAAATGAAGAGGCACACAGTCGTAACTCTTATATGGGGGGGGGACCAGTCACAACTCACAGATGGAGTCTGTCTCCCTGCAGACACCAGGATGATGCATCCTAGATCAAATGTGTGATTCAGTTAGGTCAGTGAGACACCGTCATCACGTCCAAACAGAGAACTTCAGCACAGAGAGAGTTTCTGTGTGAACTTCGCTGCATGATGAAACCGTCTTCATCTAACGAACAAACTCTAAAACTAATCAACATTTATCACGTAAAGGCGCACGCGGTGACTCGTGCTGTCACTGCTTCTCCTCAGACTCCACCAAGAAGCTGAAGGACGTGTTGCAGGAGTTCCATGGAGACGGTGTGTTGGCAAAATACAACCCCGAGGAGGTGCGTTCAGTTTACACACGCCGTGCTTTATGCTCCACGTTCTCATCCGCCTGCCCTCAAAGTCCTCCTAACATGGTGAAGTTATTCAGTTAGAGAACAAGCAGGAACTGCAGCCGATCGACACGACGATGAGAACTTTTAAAAATACCTGAAAGAATAGAACAAAATAAACACGCAGCATGTTACTGTGTTTAATGTTTCTATAAATATATTCATGTTTTCTCTCGTGCTTTCTGTTGCAGAAGCAGGAAATCCTCAGCCAGGTAACTCTTCTCTTTGTCTCTGAGAGGTTTTTATTTTTTACATTTTCCTCTTTGATCATAATCCTGTCTGGTTCTACTTCATAAAATAAGTAGATTAAAACAACACAAGATGAATTGCATGATTTGTAGAAACTTTCTCAGACTGAACTGAGTTCAAACGTGGCAGAATTATTTAAAGTCACGTCTGACAGAAATATGTTTAGCTTGTTGAAGATGTTTGCCACAGTTTTTACATGAGATTTTTTTTATAAAGAAGTAGGCGGTTTGGATTATTTGTAAGCATCTTACCTGCAGCAGACAGCAGTCAGAGTTGTTCTAGTTTGAATAATTGGAAAGTGAGAGTTTACCTTTTCTACCACTTTGAGTGAATATTATACTTTCTTTTTGTAATTTATAATTTTGTCATTGTAAAATGTACAGAAGAGGTTTAGAGCCACGGTGCAAAACGTTTTTATTTGCTTATTTTCCTAAATTCTAATTTTAGTCTGGAAATTTCAGAATTCTGAGATTAAAATCAATATTCAGGATTTTTATTTTTATTTTTTGCACAGTGGCCTTAATCCTCTTCCATACAAACTGTTTACTCACAGTTGTTTACTTTGGCTCTATGTATTCACCTGAAACCCACCTGGGTTTAGTGTGTTCTTCCACTGATCAGCTGACTAACCAGAAAACAACTGCCCAGAGGCAGAAAATCTGAATCGATATAAAATCAAATCTGCTGTTTTCATGACATGAGTCAATAACTACAAGTCACATTGTTGCAGTTTTAGTTTTCGTGCTACAGACTCACAGCAAAGCTCTGAATTAAAGTGGTCCCGTTTATTCCAACAACCTTTTTCACAACTTGACGTCTTTAACAAGGTCAGGAAAGATGATGGAGTATAATTTCATCAGGATTATTCAACCAGGATTATTTGGGCCACATGAGAATTGGACAAATTTGTTCAGACAGTTTTTGAATTGGATTCTGTAGATGGATGGATGGATGGATGGATACATAGATACATAGATAGATAGACAGACAGACAGACAGACAGACAGACAGACA